CTCTGATGAGCCATGTGTATGTGACCCTCGTTGTTTAATGTCATTGATATGCTGTTGCGGTCAAACTGACAATTTCCAGGCTGAAATTGAAGGGAAAGCTCGACACTAGCTGGCTGCTGTTAAGGCAAGCCGTACAGCTTGGACAAGATTTCGGGTTCTTTCAGGCCCCGCGGACAGGCCACCGCATGTGGAGAGACACGTCAGTTGATATGCGATCTGCTGGAGCTGTTGCTGCTTGGGGGCTTTTTATTCTGAACTCGTATAGTTTTTAGACGACCAGAGCATATTTTTTTAGTTGGCTGACCATTCTCTTCAGACAAATGTCCATGGAATGTCGGAAAACCGCGAACCTAACACCCCCAATATTCGAGCCTCCTGTGAGAGATAATATCAATGACGACATTGTATGGATCCCATATCCTCGTTCCAACCATATTGAATACGAAAAGAAGCCTGCGTTACTCCGTGAGATAATGATCCAAACGGTGGGCTTTACGGAACTCGTCGTCAACATGCAAGACTTGCTTTTTGATGAAGCGTTCGATATGAATATTGGCGACCTATGTAGGGCAGTAAGCGCTCTGTACACTCGCCTAGAAACGTGGCTGAAAAAACTGCCCGGTCCACTGAAAATCGACAAGGAGGCTGTACAAGTTCCGCAAGTATTGAGTTTGCAGTAAGAGCAAAGTATCCATCTGCCAAACCGATTGCTAAATATTGACTGTAATTTTGTAGTATCAGATACCACCATGCCATCATCCAGCTCTTCGATTCCTTAGTGAACCATGAAGACTTCGCCCCCATGTCGCTTCCGGATGTTAACCAGGCTCGACTCATCCGACTTCGGTCAGCGAAGCAGATTGCTGACTATCTCCTCCTATACCATGAAGCCTATGGGCTTCGGCATGTCCCCGGCCAGATGCTGGAGCCTGCCAATGCAAGCACCCTTATCTTACTCACCGCTTTGGACAACTGCGAATATGATTTCAAAGAGGAATTTGTTGAATTGTGTCGGTTTCTAGTGGCCTTCAGCAAGAGATTCTCCCTCGCTAGAGATATGCTCGCGAATATAGAATCCACAGCCGAGTCCATGGGTATCAAACTGCCCCCCGAAGCCGGTACAGTGTTCGACCACAGGAATTTGGAATCATCCCAGTGGCTATAATCCGGATTTCGCGATATGTATATCAACTCCAAAGCATGACAATCAGTCAGCGGCTTACTTAGCGACGGTGCACAGAATGTGGGATTGTTTCTTGCGGCAGCAAGGGAAAGCGTAAAGTATGAGGGAGCGGCGAAGGGAGCTAGTATGTCGATCGAACAAGGTACGTATGTCTATACACACTATGCAGGGGCATCTTGTGTGAATTAGCATTCCATTCCGATCATCCTGGTACGATACGTGATGCTCGGTGATTCTCCATTATAGTTGGCCACCTGTAAGTGGTGGCAACTGTCTGTCTGTTTGACGGAGATGGGAGATCAGGCAGTAAGGAAACATGACTCTTTCTTATGGGAAAACTGTCGGCAGGCTTCTCTTTGGTGTACTGCTTTTGTTGCCGTGTGTACTGTTGAAATTGAAATCAAAAGCGGTTGGACGAAAGAAAGGGACGGACACGAAGAGAGGGACAAGTGAGAAAGAGAGGAGAGCCTGTCACGGGTCAATGAGACTAGATGGACAAGATCTCGGCTGGATAAGTTTTCCGGCACCATACCATTGGACAACTATACCCCCATACTTTTATCCATGATCTCCAATGCGGAGGGCAGACCTTGTTGTCTTTTTTGTAGGTGAGGACCGGCAAATCTGACTAGGTGCTTGCTAATTGACCTTAGTGTTGAACCGACGATCCTCTAGCTTAACCCTTAACCCATAACATCTCCAGTCGCAGGCGGGCTAGCATGCAACTCCATATTACCTTTCTTACGGCATTGCAACAATCCTATCGGGCGGTCCACAGCGTGCTTGTTGTCGGTACGTTGACACTTCTAGGCCCGCACAAAGGTAGAAACCAGGCTACCCAGTAGTATTTTATAAGCACTTAGTTGCCTCCTTACAGCCCTGTGTTTTGTCATCCTTTCCAAGGTATCATCCACCGGTTCTCAGTGGAAGACAAGCTGTTGGCTACGGGTTTTACGACACAGTGGCACAAAGCCAGGCTCGCGTTGGGGTTTATCTACTTCATAATCGGGGACAGGATTGGGTTCCTATAGGAATCCCTAAGATATCTTGCAGGGTAACCTAAGATTAATTCAATATTATCCTAATTGGTCCTCCAAAAGGTAAAAAGAGATAGAGAGCCCTTTGAAGTAACTGGAGGCTGTCAGAGCATGACGGGAGAGTTGATACGAACAATTTGTAGTTCTTTTTTGCCCTAGTTCCTTTTTATTCTACAATAAATCCAAGAGAATATTGTGAGCCTTGAATGGTTGCCAGTTGCGGTTTCAGATCTTTTTCAGTTTCTATATTGCTTGTTTGTTCCCCCAAATTAACGAGTAATTCATAGCTGACTCATCAGCTCAGTTATGCGCAGATAAGATAAGCACAAACCGGGGCCAAGCGAAAACCCTCAAAATTCAACTGCCGCCGAAACAATCGAAATCCCACACGCCGACGCCGAGCAGTTACCGCCAGACGACGTGCCCTCTCCCTCTCGCCCTACCCTCAGTCGACCGTTTGTTGGATCATCCCCGTTCCCTCCGCAGACTTTTTACCTGTCAACATGTCGTACGAAGAGCGCGCCAATGCGCACCCTAACCTGAACGACGAGTCCGACGTTGAGGAGGAAGCGCTTGTCAACGATTACCGCGAGCAAGTCAATTTTGACGATAGCATGAGCGAACTGGATCGGACTACATCCCTTGGAGCTGGCTCTCAGACGCAGGATCTCCAGGCACAGCTCGCCGCTGCCGCGACCCCGCTTGAATACCAGGCCACACTGGAGACCAAGTTTGCAAGCTATGACAACTACTGCAGCCTTTTCCACTACATCCTCAACTCGGATGGCCCTGTTGAGCTCGAGGTCCCTTCTGTATGTACCCGCTCGCTAGCTGACATCCTCGGGGGTGACATGTACTCTGCTCACTGCATATCCCGTGCCCCCACTCAATGTGTGCGCCAAGCCCGTTGTTATACAGTGTGCTAACGAATCTTTTCCTTTCCACAGTACTACTGGGCTTGGGATGTGATCGATGAATTCATCTACCAGTTCGAATCGTTCTGCCGTTACCGCAACCGCGTCGCTCGTAGCGGCTCCAATGAGGAAGAGGCCCAGCTTCTGCGTGAGAACCCGAACACATGGGGCTGCTACTCCGTGCTCAACGTTCTTTACTCGCTTATCCAGAGGTCCCAGATCAATGAGCAATTGGCTGCTATCAAGCGTGGAGAGGACCCCATGGCGTTCGCCGGAGAGTATGGCTCTCGCCCTCTGTACAAGATGCTCGGATACTTCTCGATCATCGGACTTCTGCGTGTCCACTGCTTGCTAGGTGACTTCAGCCTTGCCCTCAAGACGCTTGACGACATCGAAATGAACAAGAAGGCTATGTTTGCCCGTGTTATGGCAGCTCACTTCACCACCTACTACTATGTGGGCTTCTCCTACATGATGATGCGCCGTTACGGTGACGCCATCCGCATGTTCAGCCACATCCTGGTCTACGTCTCCCGGACCAAGAACTTCCAGAAGGGTGGCAACAGCTACGACGCTATCGCCAAGAAGAACGACCAGATGTATGCTCTTATTGCCATCTGCGTTGCCCTCCACCCCACCCGTCTCGACGACACCATCCACTCCGCTCTCCGCGAGAAGTACGGCGAGCAGCTCCACCGTCTCCAGCACGGTGGCCCCGAGGCCCTCCCTCTGTTCGAGGAGCTCTTCCGTTCCGCTTGCCCCAAGTTTATCAGCCCCACTCCCCCCGACTTCGAGAACCCATCTGTCAACGTCGACCCCGTCGACCACCACACGGCTATCTTCATGGATGAGGTCAAGAACACGCTGTACAACCCTACCATCCGTTCCTACTTGAAGCTGTACACCACGATGGACCTGCAGAAGCTGGCCGGCTTCCTGGAAGTCGAGCCCGAGAAGCTCCGCTCCTGGCTGTTGGTGAACAAGCAGCGCAGCCGTCAGGTCCGCTGGGTTGAGGGCGGTCTGCTGGAGGGTGAGCCCGTCGCCGCCAACGACCTGGACTATGCTCTGGAGAATGACCTGATCCACGTTAGCGAGACCAAGGCCGGCCGTCGCCTGGTGGACTGGTACCTTCGGAACCTCGCCCGCGTCTACTAAATTGTCTGATCCCTTGTCAAGGAAACAGGCGACAACGCACTCAAATATTGAGATACGTGCTATGTTCCCGACTGCGCACATATAGAGGTACCCTTCGATAACATAGGGGCTCCTCCGACCAAACCGCAGATAGGAGAGAAAAAACAGAGAGGCAGAACCCGGGGAAGTAGGCGTGAAAAGAGAGAAGGTGTGAAGAAGTGCAGTGGGGAAGTTGAATCCATCCCATAATCACACCTCTCAGTCCCCAGCAATATCATGAATTATCTTTTGTTTCCCTTGTTTTACCCTTTCCGTTTCATTTTATTTTTTCTTTCGTTGTCCATGTTTTCATCAGGGTTGCAACCTTGGACTCTACTCTGATTACCGGGTTTGGGGTGGTTACAAAAGTCTCGAGGCTTGTTTTGGGGCGTATTCGATGCTTAACTATACTTGGTTTGCTTACTATTCATGTTCGACATGTTTGATCTGTGCATAACATAACATGCACAACAACACGCTAAATAGCAGAGGACAAATGTGGTAGGAATTCGCATGATGAAATAGATGATGACATTTTTCCAATTCACTCTAAACCTCGCCAACACCATTAAAAGAAGGGAAAGAAAGAGCAGGGAAGATAAGGAGAAGGGAGAGGGGGGGGTATAGTAAAAATTACTCTATCACCAGATGCAAAAGTATAATATACAAATACAAGATGCCTTCGCCCCCCTTTTAATCAGTCACATCAAAGCTAGTTCCACAGCCGCAGTTACTCGTCGCCCGGGGATTATCGACGATTTTGAACTGACTACCGATCAACTCCATAGTGTAGTCTACTGTACTTCCGTACAGGAGCTCTAAAGAAGGCTCGTCCATGACTACCTTAGCCTGACCGGCGGCCTCAGACGATCCTTCCTCGGGGGAGAATTCCGCCTCGAAGACAGTGTCTTCTTCCGGGTCGATCTTCGAAGCGGCCTCCAGGGACATCATATACTGGAACCCGTGGCATCCTCCGCTGGTAACTGTGATGCGGAGATGGTGGTATGGGTTCTCTTCTTTGAGGACAGACGGAGACGACGTAGGATCGGTGACTTCGCGTAGACGCTGGGGAAATCAATTAGTACGCATATACACTATTATGAATAATCCTGATGGACAATTCAAAGTGCCAAAGGTAAAAGAGAGAGAAATAAAAAAAAAATTAAAAATAAAAAAATATTAAAAGAATAAAAGAAAGAAGAAGAAAAAAACATACAACAGGAGGGATTCGCTGGTGGTCACCCACCCAACTACTAACCTCCCGGCGTGTGGCTTAAGTACGGCTGAGCGGACGGGAAGCCCTGTTTTCCACACCCTATGGTCGTATGTACTTATCAGATGTAAGATTAGGAGTTTTAGCGCCAAAGCACTGAGTACACCTTCCGCTCAGTCGCAAAACTCCAGGATCAATTGTCATGACCAGGAGCTACTCCCGTCCAGCCCACAACCTTCTTGTGCCAAGTCACGCCACACTTAAAAGAAACACAAGATGTAACGGATGAACAACAATATGAACATACTTCTGCAGCGCGGGGCGAGATTTCAATCGTCAGTGGATTGCCATCTTCGCCGGTTCTCGGGTTCTGTAAGACCTTGGTAGCGGGTCTGATGGTGGTGGACGAAAAAGCGCAACGCTGTTGGAGACGCATGAATGCGGGGAGGGATCTCCGTGGGGAAGTGATTCGGTTTGCCTTCGACTCGCAGATGGCGTAGGATATCAACCGGCGGGGGGTAGAATCGCTCAACGATGCGGAGATGCTCGAACGAGGTGTTGCTGATGGGAAGGCAGGAACTCCCGTACGAGGGGAGCGCTGCCGCCATAGCTGGCGAGCAGCAGACGATAGCATCGAGCGAGACATTTTCAGGGCCCAAGGAATTCAGAGGGCAAGGTTGAGTCTGTAGAAATCAAATGCTATGTGAATGAGTTTCTTGCGGATTTGATTATCGATCAGCCTTTAGTCATATGGTTCCGCATGACGTTATTGGTCGATCAGGCACCGGTTACTCGGGTGTCGGAGTTACTGAGTGGCCACCCGGAGATATTTCGATATCTTGACTCGAATCTTGATGTGAATTGAGGCCATCTTGATGTCTTAGAGAATGTCACCAAGTTCTTGTTCACAAATCATTTTCCATTGCAGTATACTAAATCAATGCTTTAGTGGGTTGTCTATCTGTTTATGGCACATTGTATGGGTTCTTTAGGTGTTTCTGGGCCTTAATATATATATGCGTCAGATACCCTACTATATTTCATCCATTGAATAAAGTATCAGTAAGCCTGTTGGCAACTCATCAGTTCGATCTGGGCTTTTCATCACACACAGAAGAAGTACAGAGGAGAACTGCAAAGCTAGCCAACGCTGTCTTGCTCGTTTTCCCAGCCCCATAAGTCTCTGAATTTGGTCAGGTAGCTGACATGATTGAACATGAGCGCTTCCCTTTTTCAATCATATCTCAAAACATAGATGCATCTACTGGGCATCTCTTTTCTTAACAAAGTCATTCTCGAAGTCCAATCCTGCATCCTGCCTAATGATGCCATACATGGCGGACGAGTCCAAGGGCCTACCCTCTTGCTCGGAATAAGTATTGGCACGTTTAAGATGATCCAGCGCGACCTCAGCGACCTTTAATCTCGTCCCTGCACTGCCTGCACAGTCGATGCTGTGTCCTACGTCTTTCAGACCAAGGCTGAGGTCGGACCAGGGATTTTCGCCTAGCATTGTCAGCTTTGGTCGTAGTATACTTACTCATTGGATAGACAAACCCCTCGGCGGCATGTAATTACCTTGAGTCAACCGCTTAGAGATCATGCCAGGCAAAAGACCAAATTGGAGCTCGAGTAGATTCTCAAGAGCTTCATTGCCCATCTCACTCTTCTCCGCCAGAACGTGGGCTTCTCCAATAATCTCGGTGAATCCGGAGATGATGAAGTTGCTGGATTCGGTCAGCTTCTAGTTTCAAATATCTGCTGGTAAAAGTGCTTACCCCATGATCTTCAAGAGTGCAGCCTTTTCTGACTTGTCAGACACTGTGATGGTCTCACGAGCTATCACGCCTTTGAGATATGGTGCCAGTTCCTTGATGCCAGAGAGGTCACCAGCTAGTACTATCAAAATCTTTCTGTCCTCGGCCATAGGGCTGGAGCCGAACACGGGAGCTGTCGATATAAGTCTCTTTTCCCTGTTACCAGATTTTTATGAGAGTAGACATACCTGAAATAAAAGTAGCATTTTTCTGTGCTACCTTCCCTGAGACCTCTTGGCTGGTGGTTGGATGCACAGTTGTTGTGTCCACAATGATCTTAAGGTCAATGTTTCCTGCAGCCAGGATCTCGTCGACGATGATTTTAAGAGCAGCATCATCACTCGTCTAGCTTTGTTAGTATATCAGACAATTATAAAACTGTTGTTCAGCCTACAGAGATGAAGATGATATCGCTGCTGTTGACAACAGCTGCAATTGACTCGCACTCAACTCCCCCAAGTCCCTTCAATTGCTCTATTTTGGATGCGGTTCGGTTCCAGAAATGCAGGGGGCTTTGCCCCGTTTCTGCCAGATGCCTTTGCATATTTTTCGCCATGGCATTTCCCATCTTTCCAAGTCCTAATCATCATCAGCACGGTGAAATTCAGCTCATTCTGCTGAATACCTACCGACCCACCCTAACTGCGGGATTCTCTGGTTTGCCATTTCCCCTCGCTATAATTGAATTGACTTTATGATTATATTGACCGCGTTCGGTTTGTTATAAGAATGTGTCTGTATTCAGAAGGTCAAAACAAAATCACACGTGGTGATTGACGAGCTGCGTTCCCGGCCATGGATGCACACGCAGCCTTCTTATATTGCCACGCTATTCCAGTGCGTGCATGCATTGTGACAATAGCGCCACACACGACGATCCCGATAGCACCCAAATTAGCAAGCTAGTAGAGCTGTCAGCGCCAATCAGAATCTTATTGAGTCGACCATCTGGCTGGGTTTTCTTTATGATTAAATGAAACGGTCAGTGCGCAATGCGCAGAAAGCAACGCCAATGAAGGTCTGCCTGGATGAGTGGATCTTTGCTAATCAGTGTTCGCTTTGTCAAGTAAGTAAGGATAGTCGTCCATAGCACAGAATCTGTTCCCCATACTCTGTGGGAATGTGAAGAGCTCTCCATTTTGCTACTTCAGGGTCTTGCCCATGTGCTCTATACGTAAATGGCATCTTGATATTGGCATTCCCCCAGAAAATTTCTGCCATGTTGATAATATGCTCTCTGGATGGAATACACGATGGGGTTTTCTCCGAGAGGATTCCAGCAGAAGGGATCATCCAGTCACAATGCATTGAATGATTTTTGTATTTCCTGCGGCTGAGCATGCATGGGCTGAGAAGAGTGGATCCATTGAGCGACGGAAAAAAGAACGACGATCTACGGAGGCCTTCCTGGTTCGCATCGGATTGACACACTACCTGCCTGGCTGCTCGACTCTGGGCACAGATGCATACATCGACCCAGCTCATTGGAACTGATTGGGGGGCGGCGATTTGAGATTGACTGAGTGAGTGAGTGATTCTGTCGGGCTCAGCTAGTTTGCCTTTCCACCCTTACTTACACCGTCATACCGATGACTTTTCTCTCTCCCTCCCCCTCGACTAGCCGTCATGTTTCTAATATTGATCGTGAAGGGAATATATTCATCTCGACTGTGAACACTGTCCAATATGTCTCCCACCAAGCGTGACCCGGACATGCCACCAGATGAAGAATCGCCTCTCCTCCAGTTCCCGTATCCACCAGTCAAGACAAAACAATCTGATTTCTTTATAATCTATGCGACATTCTTTGGTATTCCCCACTGAATCATGCGGATGTATGAGCAATGATTAATGTCAATAGGTGTTTTCATTGCCAGTATTGATGAATCCCTCGTTCTGTCCACCTTCAGTACCATCGCGTCGCAGTTCCATCTCCTTTCCCAAGGTTCCTGGTTGCTCGTTGCGTATAACTTTGGATACTGTATTTCGCTGCCAGTGGTATGTTGATATACTCTTTGATGCCGGATCAGAGGTGTTGATAGCGGATAGTACGGTGCGTTGAGTGATTCGTACGGGCGCAAAAATGTTCTGCTTGTCTCGTATATCTTATTCACACTGGGATGTTTTGCCTGGTAAGATGATCTTCATCATGCCCTGGATAGTTGAATCAACATCTAACAGTCTGATTCAGCGGTGCAAGTGCCTCCTTGACACAGCTTGTTCTGGCCAGAGTCCTCGCTGGCCTGAGCGGTGCTGGAATGGTGACGCTCGTGTCTATCATCATCATGGGTATGCTCTCATCAATGTCTGTATCATTGTTTCCTCTAACATGATACAGATCTGGTCCCTCCCAATGAAGTTGCGGTCTACCGAAGTTATGAAAATGTGATCAATGTCATCGGCCGCAGTGTTGGAGCGCCCCTCGGTGGTTTGCTTTCGGATACGATCGGCTGGAGATGGTAAGGTATGTACTGCGCAGCAACGAATATGGATACTGACCGTTGTAGGTCCTTCTTGGGTCAAATTCCCCTGATCATCTTCTGCACCCTCGTCGCCGTGTACGGACTGCCCGCTTCTCTCAACCACACAGAAGACAAAGATAAACAGCCTTCAGGCAAACCTCGCCGATCGCGTCTTCGGGAAATCGACTTTGCCGGAATCATCACGCTTTCTGCTGCGATCATTCTCTTACTCTTCGTGCTTCAAACTTTCGGGACGAAAGAAGAAGACCAGCTGGTGCCAACATGGGGTCTGATTGTTGCCTTTGTCGTTTCTTCCATGATCTTTGTCCTGACCGAAGTTTTCTACGCAACGAGACCATTGATCCCGATGCACTTATTGATCCGGGAGCTGGGAGCCTACTGCCTTATGCAGTGCCTGTTGTTCTCCGGTCGTACTGCCGTATGAATTCTTACTCAGACTTTGCCATCTACGTTACTGACTGTGATCCAGTTCGTCAGCAACGTTGTCCCCTATTTCACTCGTGTCGAAGGAAAGAGTGACTTTGTTGCTTCGATGATGTACGTGCAAGTCGCCGCTGGCGTGTCAGTAGGAGGAGTTGTCTCTGGCTATGTTATTAAACGGTATGCGCCCCTAAATATCGCCCTTCAAACTTGGCCAGTTCGCTTACGATTCACAGGATGAGACGATATAAGACTCTGAGTATTATTTCTCTCGGTATAACAGTCTTGTCTTTTCTTCTCATTTTCCTCACCTGGCGCGATGGCTGCAACATTTGGGAATCCTTCTTCCTATTCGTTGTCGGATTTGCACCTGGCATTCTCTTCTCAACCCTGTTCATCGGCATGAGTTACAGCTCGCCAGAAGAATGTCTTTCGGTCTGCATCGGAACATTTTATCTCTGTCAGCAGCTGGGAACGATTATAGGGCCCGCTTGTGGCGCCGCTCTGGTCCAGAGACTTTTCAAGAACAACCTTGTCCAACATATTGTGGATATCCCGGATAAGAAGACGGTATGTTTGTCTCTACCTTCTTCAAATTCATGAGCAATATACTAATCTTAAAAGTAGATCATAAAGGGCATCCTCAACGATCTCAGATTCGCCGAGTCGCTATCTGAGCCCTTACAGCAGATTGTCCGGTCGAGCTACCTGAATGCTTTCCAGTTTTTGCCAGGTAAGTCCACCCGTTCTCTGAAGAGAATCTGCTCTAACATTTGTCTCAGTATTTGCATTGGTCTCCTCTGCGGCCGTTTTGCCTTTCTTGGTATTCCTCAAGGAGGAAAGGGTGGATTAATTGTAGGTTTATGCGATGGTAATGTACAGTATGTTTGTTGGAGGAGGATTGTAATTTAATTTGTGACGGCGAACCCCAACGCCAACTGCTAATATTGGGATAATACATATGGCACTTTTGAAGTGAAAAGTTCATACTAGATAATTGGTCTTAGAATGATTAGGTTCGGGTTGTATGTTTACAACTATAAGCATGCTTCTCCAATGTGATGTTATGCTACAAACGCCCCTACAATTGGTATGATATGTTCACCGGAATACCCTAGCGATCATAATCGTAAACCAAGGTCAATTTATCAAAATTCATTTCTTCTCCTCCCATGTACCGCGTATCAAACTTCATCAGATGCATACAGGTAGTTGATAACTACATGACACATTCCACGAATAATGTCATAAAAAGCTCATATAATCAACTAAAACCTTTATCTGAAAGAGGTTGTAGCCACCTCACCATAGACGACTTGCTTGCCATCTCCTATCTTCTCATAGTCTGTCGGGCTGTTATCATCGACCTCATGCAAGAAGGTTGCCTTCTCAGCACGATGCAGCGTCGCCTTAATCGGAGAGCCAAGTTGTTCGAGATTCACTTGCTGTCGAGTACGTATTCAGTAACGATATCTATCATCAAGTTGGGGAGGGGACTGGATAGCTGGATATAAGCTTACCTGTCCCAGACTGTCGACCACCACAAACCACACGTTATCTTCGGGGTTACCGGCGTCTTCATCTGCAAATTTGTCGACGGCAAACGTGGCAGGAACTTGCGCGACAGACCTAACACCCTCATCCTGCTGTTGCTTGCAGTTTCCGCATCCGCCATCCCCGTCTGCAGGTAAAGGAGCACTGAAGCTGTAAATACTGGCGACGAAATTCTTGCTTCCGGGGCCGACGAAGTCTTCGTCCGGTTTCTCGCCGACAAAGAGGTTGATCTTGTAAGGCTCGCCGTTCAGAGCGTAGCTGTATGATGGGTTAGTATTTATTCTCAATAAAGAACAAGATATTGGCGCTGGAACACTTCACCGGCTGTAGTAAATAGTGATGATATAATCACTTTCGTCCCTGTTCTCTTTGTCCAAACCAGGGAACAGGGCCGTAGTTCGCTTCGAGTAGAGAGTATCAATTTCCCTTTTGACCTGCTTGATATGTGCTTCATTGTAGTCATCTTTACCCTGAAGAATCTCATAGTCGTATCCAAGTTTGCGCCAGTCTTTCACATCTTCGGATTTGTGAATCTCGTGCTTGTCATTCTTGGAGAATGGCAGGAGATCGTTGTTAAGGGCGCTTGCACTATCGCCGTCAAACCACTTGGTTGGATTCAAGAACTGCCAGGTGGCTGTCAGGCGGTCGATGTTGCTAATAACTGATCAGAATCACCCCATCAACTAGATATATATATATACGAAAGATAGTTGCTTACCAGTGATAGATGAAGAAGATAGGGTCAAAAGCTGCAACTAAAGGACTGGCCATGTGTCCCATACCCCAAAGCTTCATATGCGTCTCATCAGGACGGATGAATTGCGATCCTCCAACAAAGGCCTGTAATTGTCAGCTTGGAATTGTATCGGCTAGCCTAATTTGAATAACCCACATGAATGTTGTTATGGATCATTTCCAAAGGCAACCAGTACTCCGGCTTTTCATCGTGAGATCTGCAGTAGCGAGTGCTGGAAAAAGCCGTCCAGCTGGTGGGACCCCCATTCTGCTGCAACAACTTCCAAGTCATGAACTGCACTGTCTGTTGTGGCTTCGTTGGCTGAGGAGCCCAGGCGTGTTCATTCAGTGCCAGGTTAGAGCGAAGCCAGTTTTGGCCTCCGTCAGCCCAGATGTCGATGTGATAACCCTCTAGAAGGCCATACTTGGTAGTTGAGATACATTTGTCCCACTTTGACCATGTTAGATAGAGAGATATTTGATATTACCAGAATTTTTTTTTTTTTAAAAAAAAAACTTGCAGGAATGGTCCATGATGTTGAGTTTCCGTTTTTGTCCTTTTTTGTGCGTGTCTCCGTCTGGATCTTATATGGACTGTCCACTTTACCCATCACCTTGGGCGCAGTGTATTTGTAGAACGGGTTTGCCACAGTTTTGGTCTCGACAATTGTCTTGTCCTTTGAAACAGAACGAATCTCGACGTTCGGCTTCACAAGCAGGATGGGAAGTCTGAGTTCCCCAACCGCGCCTTCAGGCACCTCCACCTCTGGCTTATTGGCGAATCTGGCAAAGTCCCAGTACGGCAGACGCCACTGGTTGGCTTCATTCCGCCACTCTGTCTCCCACTGTACCGGGACGTTCTTCTCAATAAATTCATTCATCGCTTCGTAGATGACTTGCTGTTATATATCGAATCACCAGTCAGTTGCTCGGGTATAACTGCCTATATCAGGTTGGAAAGAGCCACGTACCTCAAGCAAAGTCACATACACCCGATGCCATGTCGGAAACGTGTAATCATTATGAACGCAGTATCCCGGCACTCTATCTTTTGGAACCTCTGTCGACCCCTTGGGAGGTCTCGCATTGTCCCACGCCACCCAGGGTTGAGAATGAATGCCCGCAATGCGAAACCAGGAGCGTACATCCTCAAAAGGTCGGGCCTGGACAATGGCTAAAGCCTCGACGAAGAGGGTCAACTGGATTCTCTTTGAATTGTCTCCCAAGGTCTGCTCCTTGTACCAGTCATCGATGTTCTTGCGGACAGGACGGCGGCCTTGGGGATCGAAGGTGTTGATACCCTTGATTGGGTACGAGGGAGGGTTGGTTACCATTTTGAATGTGAGGAAAGTATAGTAGTAAAAAGACCTTTCAGAACGAGGTAGGCTGATGGATATCAGATCTTTCCAATGAGATATAAGATTCCAACAACTCGTGTTTATATAACCGAGTTGACTCGAGGACGGTTTATACTAATTGCGTAACGATGCATCAACCTCGCTCAATATGACCCCCTTCAGCACCATCAGTTTTCCATATGTATATTTTAGCTGAAGCTAGATAGTAGAGAGCCCCCCATATGTCCACTGATTGGATATGACCAACAGCGTCTAATGTGACATTTTCACATCTTCTCGTCCAATTAAACCCATCCGTCTCTACTTCC